CTTTCCATTTTGGGGCGTTTCGAACCTATTGAACTCAATGAAGTTGCTCCTAACGAATATCTGGCAACTCAATGAAACGGCTGCGACAACACTTGGATTTCGATAATGGTTCTAAGGTGCTCAAACAAGAGACAAGTCGGTTTCCACAGCCCATCACGATAAAGAGAACAAATCTCTTTAGTTGGAGATAGCGAAAATTTCTAACGTATTGCCGCCACTAGAACTACAGTATTGAAAAATGAAGAAATGTGTTGATTCGTAAGCACTAACGCTTTGGAGAAAGCGACATCATGTTAAAGGAAGCATTCTTCTTAAATTTGAGATGGCACTCACAGAACAAGAGATTGCAACTTGAACAGCTGTGTTCCTAATTGACGCTTTCTAAACTGTTGGCAAGGCTATTTTATCTTTTATGAGCATTATGTACTGGCACCTTTGAGTTTTGTGGCCAATGAATGTTGTTACTTGCTATCAGTTGTTTACAGAATGCACGAGACTAGAGGCTTTGGTGTAACCCGTATATCAACCATCCCGGAAAAAAACCGTATGGCACCAGCAGCGGAAGCTATTCATAATGGCAATCAAAATAATTAACAGTTTTCCAGAAGAGCCGCAAAAAGTGTCTAGGAAGGACAATATTAACTAAATCATTAACTGCAGCGCATATAATTTGGAGGGTAAAAGGGCCATAACTGCTCACGCGATTTAAAGACCATTTAACTCTGCTATCAAAACTATTACTTATTACAGCATGGCAACATATGCTGACTTACCAGCGTCAATAATTGTTCTAAAATGACCGTACATCGAACGTAGTTACATCTTTTAAATGTGTTCACATTCCAAGACAATACAAAACAATGTATTTTAAAAAAGACGAACGGCGAAAATTATAACTCCAAGTTCCTACATTTAAGATTCAAAAATAGTATAAATAGTTTTACAGTCGAAAAGGCGTTGTTAAATTCTTATGTTTGTTCTGATTAGTAGCATCCACGCCGTCAAGTTCAATCTCATTATCAGTGCGCTAATGCCTGCTGAGTCATTTGAGGAGGAGGGGCTTGAGAGGATACCTGATCTCCGTTTGTCGCAATGGCTTTTTCAGGCGGGCCTGAACAGAACTGCTACGAAGTCAAGGCCGTTGTTGACTAATTTAATAATGGACGTAGTTAAATCTGAGAGTATGTTCGATCTTATGCAATTCATTTTACTCCTATCTTGTCTTGGATTTCTTTTTTGCCGGGTAGCAACTGCATATACTTTGCCAGCATTCTCTCAGATTTTTCTGGGGAACTAGTGTACTTGTTGTCGGCGTGTCTTTCGACTCAGTCCGAAAGATTTTCCTGACCTCCATTCCACTGATCATGAACCCGCTCAGGAGACGGTACTGGTTGTTACCACCGGGAACACATGGGATGTTTTTCAATGAAGCTCTTTTACAGCTAGCTAAAATAGCCATTTTGGGGGTTTTTTGGTATCCTGTCCTTTTGTGTGAATACTATTATCGTATGCCAATTTTCACTCTCCTAGCTTCTGTCGCTAGACTAATTATGGGGTCGCACATAGACCAATTATTTTTTTGGTCTTAGATTGAACTCTTATGCTTTTTCAAAAGAGCATTTTCTTTTTGTGGAATGATCGAAGTACTGGAATGCGAACCAACGAGGACTTTCCTACATTTTAGATATGACCCCATTTTACAAGATCGTCTGCAAGCAACTACATCTTCTCGAGAATCAAAAACTCATAGCGGAGATGCAGAAAGCAAATGATGAAAAATTTAAAGAGTTAGATGAAAACATTAAAAAGGCTGAAGAATCGGATGGGGAAACGGAAATTCGTGAGGCTATGATTGCGAAGGCGCATTACCTCAGTAAGATCGGCAACAAAACAGATGCTCTGGCCCAATTTCGTGCTATTCTTGACAAAACCGTACTACCCGGATGTAGACTTGACATAACTTTTCACCTTATTCGTATGGGCTTTTTTCACAATGATCGGGATCTTATTACTGCCAATATCGAGAAGGCGAACAGCCTCATCGAAGAAGGAGGCGATTGGGATCGTCGGAATCGTTTGAAGGTTTATCGAGGCCTTCATAGTCTTTCCATTCGTGACTTTGATGCCTCCGCTAAGCACTTTTTGGACGCCGTTGCGACTTTCACTAGTTACGAATTGATGGATTATAAGAGCTTCATCATTTATACTGTACTTACATCGATGATAGCTCTTAAACGTCAGGACCTTCGTGCTAAGGTATGTGTGTGGGTTGCTTTGGATCCATCTAATAGCTGCGATTACGCGCATTAACGTGACAGTGTTGGCTGTTTTTACGACCTTGATGATAGCCCTATATCTCAACGAAGTAAAGCGAAGAAAGTTTCGTAGACACCTAGCAAATACTATTGCATCTATTTTCCCCATTCCTAAGCTTCATTGCATTCATCTCGTAATGCTATGAAATCGCAATAAGGAAACTTCCATGCTGGAGTTACAAGTAGTTTGTCAATTTCTACTGTTCTACTCGCAAAACGGATATGCTTTCCGAATTTTGGAACGAAAAATGTAAAGGCTTCTAAGGTGGAAAAGTGGAGACGTTACTGGATAGTTCTAAATAATCGGAATATTTTGAGTGTATGCTTGCATAGGGTGAGGTCGGCTCGTGGTCGCCTTACATGGATGGTATCGGTGTGTAATTTGATGACCTTTTTTAGCACTTCCGACTGATTGGTACAAACTTAAATAAATTTGTACTAATATGCATTTAAGTAAAAACTTTTTTAGGTGATTATGGGGTCCGAGATACAGGAAGTCCTTCACAGTCTACCTGCCGTCAGAGAGTACCTGATGTCTCTGTTCGAATGCAGATACGCCGACTTCTTTTTATACTTGGGTATGTCTGGTTTGATGTAATGATGCTCAGCTCCACATGAATCATTTATGTAACATTCCACTTACCACGTTGATAAACATCTTGACCCGAGGTAATCCATCTTTTCGTAATGCGTTCGAATAACACTATAGCCTATCATTTGCTTTTTGTTTAATTTGTTTAGCTCCACGTCGTATCCAACTGGGAAGCATAAAAGGAACAATCGTTCATACTTAGGGTTAAAAATAATCTTATAATTCGTTGATTTCTGCAACCTGTTTATTGTTGAATTAAATTGTACTGTTTCCTTTTTGCTGCGCAACTATGCTTGTATTAAAATTATTTAGAGGACGAGATCGAACTCGAATGAATCTCTTGCCGTCTTTGTGTATTGGCATATCATTTGGACATAATTTAGCAGCGCTATCACTATTGACCTGGCGCCACGTCCATTTTATACTTTTATGTCGTCCTATAGTTCGCTCTGCATTAAATAGGTGGCATTGTAGCCCCCAGCCTACTACAAAACTATTTAGTCACCCTCACCTTAAAGGCCTATTGCAAATCTTGCGGCTATCTTCTTGGTGGAGGTGATTTGAATGGTACCTATCGCTCTGCCGTTGTAGTGAAGGTGAGTGCACCGATCTTTAATAGGTCTGTATGCGATTGATGTGAGCGTAAAAGCTGTCTTGCGGTCTGCATGGAGCATTTCAGGGTCATGGTGGCCCACGTAACCGTAGAGATACACATCCATGCACACGTTTCGCTTTCTTTTATGCTTCACGGAGGGGTCAACAGGTCAGCCGAATTGCGTCGCAGATATTATTACGGCATTGTTACATGTCGGCTTGATACGGGCGTGAGTAGAGTCAAGAACGGTACCTTTCAAGACTTACGTAATCGAGCGTCGAAAATAGAACTGTTGTACACATCTTGCTAATTCTAAGCTGGTTGAAAAGGACAATCGTTTTGTTTTTATGGCTTTATGCGTGTAGTCAATGTTTGTAAATCGCTCTCTTTCGGATCACTCCAGTCTTTTCTCCTTACTCAAATAAGGGCGTTTGGTTTTGTGGTGTAAACTAGATATGATGTACATTGACCGCGGTTAACTTACGTGAACACAGATATACTTATGGAACGGATAGTTCTGTTTGTAATACCTCTGGTTAGATTGACGAATACACTTTGAAGCGGCTTTTTTGCATTACATTTGCCGTTTTGTCTAGACATGATCTGAAAATTCGAGCGTAATGTCGGATGCTGTACTTTACCATATTTGTTTCGTTAATACTTTGCGACAACGGGGATTCACGTGTCTCAATCTGCTAGTCTTAATTCAGTGTCTCATTTGTGTGCTCTGGATTTTTTATTCAAGGTTTTTTTAGGTTAACTTCTATAAGTAATCGTGATAGATTGAATTTAGTTGTTGGAAAAGCGACGTCTCAATCGCCATCCTAAGCGAGAGCAGACGTAGCTCGCAAACAGCGTGCATTAATTAGTTGTTGGATAGTGAGTACCGACTTTTCCTGCTCTGGAACGTAGTACCGTTTGCGATCCCTATCCTATCGCTTTGTTTTCGAGAAGTAGATGATCTGTTCTATGCTTCATTGCCTAATTTCCGATCTTTTTAATTGACTGAATGATCATGGCAAAGCTTACACCCAATGTATTCTTATAATTATGCTTTTTTTAGTAGTTTGACGCATTCTTGCCTTTGATAACCTTCAACCACTCCATTTGATTGGCTTCCTGTGGCAAAGTCAGCATGTAAACAGTGAAAAGTTGCCTAAGGCTTGGTAGAGCTATTGAAAGTGTCGCAGGATAGGCTCCATTCTATTTTAAAATTTTTAATTACCGTAAACTACATGACGCAGGAACAAAATGACTGTTATAAGTGTTACTGTGTCAATACGAAGTTTGACATTGTGATGGAAGTATGCTGGTCCTATTTGGATTTGCGAGTAAAGGCTTTTGCTAGTTCTTCTGAGGGTCCACGATACACTCTCCTTCGTGCCAGACTGACGATAATGTAAAAAGTGCTGTAGGTTGAAACGAGAATTTGGTAAATTTGCATTTCTCCGACTTCATTTTCCTCTTTCACGCCCATTGTGGGTCTATAGAACTTCCTTCTGAATTCGACAATGAATACAACACCGAAGAATATAGTCATCACTACACCGTCTAGTATGAATGCTTTCTCAAGCTCCGCAAGCACCAAGTGAAGTACATTGCCTTCCAATCTGCTATCGCCTTCATCCCCAATATCCTCGCCTCTTCGGTTCTTCTCTAGAGTGATTATTGTCTTTCGGTAGAGATACATTGTTCCCCATGCTGGTAGAAGATAGAGATAGACAAAGCTATAAAGACTTATCAAGTGTCCCACAATGAGCATTTTGTGTTCGGATTGATTCCTGTTCTTTATTAGAACGCATGTTTTACAGTCGCTTGTATTTAGTTGTGTTACTTCTTGGATAACTGGCATTGCGGAAACCATGACTGTTCCCGTGATTATGGTGAGGATAAGCTTTCGAAAGGGCATCGGACTTGTGGTGAATGGATAGAGTAATTTTATATAATTAAAGGTTGCAACTACCAGGTTGGTCAATGCACGCATCCCTAGACACATGTCAAAAAGACTCCCTCCGGTGACGATGCAGAAAAAGTGAAAAAGGGGCTTATCAGGTGCAAGCAGAAAGTAACCGGAATTGCACATGATTAGAGCCAATTCACTTCCGCAGTCTAGTGAGGTTTGCACGAAAGCTGTGAAGAAGGGTATCAGCGTACGCCCATTATTATCGTGCATTCGTCTGCGAAAATGGTTGGCACAATATATGTTCAGCAACAGTCCTGGTATTGTTAGCAGTATGGCTCCAACAGCTACGAATTTCTTCTCTCTGTCTCTTGCCGTAGAGTTTGGTAGCATCAGACAATTTTAAACCTCGCAATGATCGATTTCCCATCAAGTCATCGTTGGTTTGACTTCATTTTTCTGATGACTATATTGACAGTTTGCATGTTTTAGCTGGAGTGGAGCAATTCATGCACTCAGACCGGTATTTGGCGGCCCATGCACGTTACTACGTTCGTGAGATGCGGATCCGTGCCTACACACAGCATTTGGACTCCTACAGCAGTCTCAGTTTGGAAAGCATGGCGGCCACTTTTGGTGTCACCATGAGTTTTCTGGATGCTGAGCTCTCCAGATTCATTGCAAATGGTCGAATTGCTTGCAAAATCGATAAGGTCACTGGAATTGTGGAGACAACACGTCCAGATAATGTCAACTCGCAGTATCAGGTTGAGTTGATGTTGCATTACTTTGCCGCTCTATGCCATTCCAACGTTTGCTTCGCAGTTATTTATGTTTTGTAATTAGCATCGGTCAAAAAAGGCCTCTCTTATGGTTGTTTCATTATAGAAGCTCGTGACTTTTAATATCTAGACCCCTTTTCAGCAATGAATGGTAGATTTCGTTACACTGACACTTTTCATGGAAGATGTGAAAATTGTGCCGATTACCCGAGCGCATTGGTAGTAATGCTTTTTAATGCATTTGACGCATATGGAGTCCGACCATTTCAAGGCGTAAACGCTTTTGCCTTATTCCATTTTTAGGCAATGATAAAACACGGCGATGTTCTGCTCAACCGCATTCAAAAGCTCAGTCAGGTCATCAACATTTAACATGTGAAGCGTTAATGAAATCCCCCTTTTTATTTGTATCTGTTGTGGTTGGTACTAAGGAATAAATATTTTGCACTAATTTGTGATTGTCCATTAGCTCTAGTTATAAGAGCACTGCCTTAAATTTTTGACTTGAATAATAACAAAGCCCCACGTTGATGCGACTATTTTGTGGATGAAAAGTGAATTAAGGAGTGGTTCAATGTCTAGGTTAATCCCAAGACTCAACGCTAGACTCGCTTATCTCTTCTCTTCCGTATCCTCCCAAAAAGTGGAATTGACTCCCTACTTTTCATGGGTGAGTTTGAGGGAATAGTCGTTTGTGCGTTTAATTGAGGAGGCATGCGGTCACTTCAAGGATGGCACTCCTCGGAACTGTTCGTCTCCTGTTTTGCGTTTTAATAATGACAAAAAATCCATCACAAATTTGCGAGTGTGTTAAGGCGCTGTCTGTTGTTTTCGTTGATGCTTTGCATGTTTTCCCATTTGGCGGGCATAGATCTTTGATGTTTGGCCACCTCCTCCCTCTTTAACTAAAGTGCCTTTTTCCCCCTCCTCCGCCCTTCCCTCCCTCCCTCTACCTCCACACTTTTCGTAGTTTTATGCGCAGATGGTGGGGTGCACTGTCTGCGTTAATTAGAAATCTGCGCACATTTACAGGGCCAGGCGATAACACCGTAGCCAAATTAAGTGGTGTGGCATTTAGTGGTAAAATTTAAATGTGGAGGTGAGTTAGTACAATTTTGATGTCGTAGTTGTATTCTCGCTTTTCATCCCGGTGGATTGTCATGGTGACTGCATTTCGACCTTGGGGACACATCGTGCTGCCCATTGATCATTGAAAATGTTATGGCACTTTTCCTACGACGGTGGAGGTTACTTAACTAAAACTCACCACAGAAAATCTCGTTGCATTGAGTGTACCTGTGGGCACTGGAACGAGAAGGAAGTGCTTTGATGAGTCGTTGTTGGATCGCTTCAATGCTTGCGGATTGGCGAACATGAGGTAATCGCATCATAAATTATCGAAATTGGTACTGTGTACCGTGTTAAAAGCCCACCCTTAGATTTGGAGGGTTTGTTTTTTTGCAATTCCGGGATTTGTGTGGCATGGTAGTTTGTTTATTTGACTACCTGTTTGGCTGGCGGTCACTTTGGTGTGCATCCTGCTCTCGGCTGGGCGGATTGGCCGTTGAGCCAAGTCGAATCCCCACATCTTTCCCCTCTCCCTATGTACAAGTATTCGCCAATGCCTCATACCCCCTACGATCCTATGGAAACTCTCGAGTTACGAATGTGGAAACTCTCACAACACCCGTTGAGTCTCCGAGCATTTGACTAATATTCCCATTCCCATTGCAGTTGTCAAGATTTATCCATTTTTTTCCCTACGGCCATTTTCTTGCATGATAACTCGAGACAGCTAGCCAACAAATACCAAACTTTTCCTTCTGAAAGTAAGCAATTTCAGACAAAATCTTGCGAGACCAACAGACGTACTCAGTGTACGTAGCAGTTATTTTGGTGTGTAAAGTAATGCCTAGGCTTCTTAAATTATGCGTGTAGCAACAAAACTTGATTATCTTA